TGTAGAACATTTGACCCTTCAACTCCCTTTCCAATAACGCTTGCATCACCTGTCTCTTGACTACTATTATTACAGTCCTCACTTATATAAATATATATATATATATATATATATATAGTTAAAAGTTGTTTCCACGTTTATGAGTGATTAGGACTTATACTTAATTAATTCTTTTATTTAAGGCTTGTTCATAACTTACAAAAAAATATGGATCTCGTGCAATAATGACTTTACGAATAAATCAGGTTTCTTTTCTAAAAAATTGGTTTGAGACGATGAATGTAACTGCTAATTTTAATGAAAAATTAGCAATAGAAAAATGATTTGATAAATTTTTATAGAGAAAAAATACTGGTATTTTGTAAAATTTTTATACAGAGTTATATTGATGCTCTGAAAATTTTAATGAGTGACTTATTTTTCCATTCTAATATACTTTTTTTTTTAATTTTTAATATACATCTTTTATTTTCACATCATACCAAACTTGGGGTTTGGCCAAAAAAAAAACCCCGGGAGAGGAAATTGCAAAGGAAGGGGAGTGGTGGGTAAAGAGCTAGAAGGTTCGAGAGAGACAGATAAGGCGGGAAACTCGGGGAGACAATCACGTAATTTTGAAGAAATGTTAGGGGCATTATTGGTAATTCAGCTTCCCAACACCCTTGTACTTGGACTTGTTATCTTATTAAAGTATCTTGTTCGATGAACGGTCATCATGCGGCGAACATCACATGGCCGCTTTTTCAAACTTTATTATTATATGAATTAGCCCAAAACTTGGCCAAATTTTCAATTTTGCAGGGCGGTCCATATACCTTGTTTATTTTTCCAAGGGCCCCCCCATCGCCCATGATACTGAAATAAAATTATATAACCAATCAAAAATTAAAAATAATTTATTAAAAAATAATCTTAAGATGTTCGATTTTATTTAATTGTTAAAACGAGTGGAACTTATTTTTCTCAAGCAAAATATTGATAAGTTTAATTTAATTAAAATGATTTAATAACATTTTTTCCCATATAGGCAAAGCTATATTATATCTAAATCCTTAATTTCGGATTATATCTTGATAACTCTTCTAGTATTTAAAATTTTACAATGCATTTTTTAACTTTTTATATTTTTTTAAAATAAATTTTTTTTCAATTCAGCAGTTGCTTGATTAAAAATAAAAATAATATAATATAACAGGAGGTTTATTAATTATATGTGACTTAAATTTTAAAATATAATTTACATATAACTCAAAATTTTAAGAAGGTATTTGTATTTTGCAGAAAAATAAGAAGCGGTCTGGTAGGTAAAATATTATACTCCAACGGTGAAATAACCAAAAAATATATATTGGCCAGACAAAGCAAATGATATGTAACGGGGAATTATTCATGTAAACTTAAAATCCTAAGAGAGTTTCTCATTAAATTTTAAAAGCCGAAGGGATTATTTTTATATAATTCAAAAATTGAGTTCTGTATAATTTGATCTTTAAAAAAAATATTAAATGGAAAATAAAGAATATGAACTATTCAAGGAGCAGGATATAAACAAATTGAATGAAGAATTCAGTTACAATTAAACTGACAGGAATACATGTTTAATTTAATTATATATTCTCCATTCTTGTGAAAATAGTCATGAAAACCAATTAAATAAAAAGAGAAAAAAAACCTAAAGTGATATTTAAAGGGCGAATAATAACATAAAAGGAGGAAGGGATAATTAAAAGTGAAAATAAAAAAGAGCAAAACTGCAAAACATTTTTAATAAAGAAAAGGGTTTTGTTATCCAATTAATACTAAATATTTTCTTTAAGGTTCTTTTAAGTGTAAGGTTACGGATTAAAACTTTTGGTAGATATTGTGCAAATTATTGAAAATAAAGACACGCCAAGGAAAAAAGGTATAAATAATCATGTTATTTTGAAGAAAAATTAGGGGTATTGTGGTCAGAAAATGGAAAAGCTAGGGGTATAATTGATAATTGAGCTACCTACCACAACGGACTTTATAAAACCCTCGTTTCCACGTTCGGTCATCACGTGGCGATTATCCCACGCCTTGTTCAACGCCTAATGTTTCATCTTGCAGGACGGTCCCTATACTTTGTATATTTCTCGAAGGGCTCGACCCTAGATTTTCATAATTTGCTTCCCAACCCTACTCCTAACTCCTGTGCTTGTAAAATTTTTCCCCGGAACAAATTTCTCAAACTAAATTATAGTATGAGAGCCAATGCAAGTTGGCATATAAGAGTTGCGCTTGCTTTTACCATGAGTTTGAATTTTCTATAAACATTTAAATTTTACATTAATGGTCATTTTATAAGGAGATATTTAATCAATTAGTCTTGAAATAACCTAAAATTATTTTGTACATAGTGCATAATTATCGAAGTTTTTATTGACAGTCCTTATGATTATTTAGCGGAAATCTTAGGATATGAGAGTGCTATCCTGAACCCCTAATTTCTATTTTAATTTAAAAAACAATAAAAAATGTTTATTGTTAGAAGTAAACTCCATTTATTTCATCATAAAGTTTAAGCCTTGAATTTTTTACCTAAGGTCCAAGGCTAGCATCATTTGATGACTTGAAAGTAAATTTAAAACAACAACCACAAAACACATTTTAATTGCTAACATATAAGTTTGTTTTGGCCTCAGTTGAATTTTTTATTATTTGGTAAAATACAAATGATTTATTTTGTCAAGTGATATATGAAAAGCTTATATTTAACTTTAATTATTATTTTTGAATAATTTTCACATAAAACAAACATAAACAAAAAAATACATGAATTATATTAAAAACAATAGCTAAAAATAAAAATAAAGAACAACTCAAATATGTAACTAGTTACTTCTAAACTAGATTGTATGCATGGTAACTGATCAAAACTAGGTGTATTTAAAATCAGACTGGATGGGCTGGTTTAGGATGAAAACTAGCAAACCAGCCACTTGTCTAGTCCGGTTCATCTCTCAAACCAGAAAAACTTCAAACCGGTGTGACTTGGCCTGACTTAGGATCAACCCAAGTAACTCCTTGGGTTAGGTGAGTCACCAGTTTATTTTTTAAACTTGAAGTGCATTGGAAAAAATGATCCAAACACTGACTCTACTCACTGCTCACCTTAGTTTCTCTTTTGTGTTGAACTTCTCTTCTCCCTCGCACTCATTAGATCATCGCGGTTGATGCTTCAATGAGAGCTAACCAAATCTATAGCAGGAAAAGCCATGGATAGTGCTCTGAAACTCCACAACTCAACCCCCTACTACTCATGTAATGGCCGAAGGCAAGGAGGAAGGAGAAGATTTGGTAATATAAACCAACACCCAAACGACAACTTTGAACCGTGTTGAAGAAAGTGAAAAATAAAAAACCAATGACAACTAACAAGTCATAATGTCATATCTCACGAGGATGAGACAAAGAGGATCGATCAAAAGGAGAAAAAAAAAACTAAAATGAGGAAGAATTTAGGAGTCACTTGGTGAAGGAAAGTAACTAAAGAAATACGGAAAGAAATATGATGAGGGATATATTTTTTATTCACAAACATTTAATTTAAGAATTAAATATGATTTCTTATGAGTAAAATATAAATATTTTTATACATTTTAATTAATTTATGTTATTTTATTTATTTCCGTTTTTAGTACCTTGATAAAACTTTCGGTGGATGTGGTGTCAACTATTGAATATAAAAACATTCCAAGAAAAAAGGATATAAACAATCACGTTATTTTGAAGAAAAATTAGGGGTATCGTGGTCAGAAAATGGAAAAGTTAGGGGTATATTGGGTAATTGGGCAGCCCACCACAACAGACTTTATTGAACCCTTGCTTCCACGGGCGGTCATCACGCGGCGATTATCCCATGCCTTATTCCACGCCTTGTTTCATCTTGCAGCACAGTCCCTACAGTTCGTGTATTTCTCGAAAGGCTCGCCCTAGATTGTCATAATTTGCTTCCCAACCCTACTCCTGTGCTTGTAAAATTTTTCCCAAACACAAATCTCTCAAACTAAATTATAGTATAAGAGCCAATGCAAGTTGGCATATAAGAGTTGCGCTTGCTTTTCCCATGAGTTTGAATTTTCTATAAACATTTAAATTTTATATTAATGGTCATTTTACATGGAAATATTTAACCATTCAAAAATCGGTTAGTCTTGAAGTGACTTAAAATTATTTTGTACTTGGTGCATAATTATCGAAATCTTACTTAGGATATGAGAGTGCTATCCTGAATTCCTAATTTCTATTTTAATTTAAAAAATATTTTACAGTAAGAAAAATGTTTTTTTGAATGAAGTAAAATCCATTGATTTCATCATAAAGTTTAAACCTTACATTTTTTTTACCTAAGGTCCAAAGCTAGCATCATTTGATGACTTGAAAGTAAATTTAAAACAACAACCACAAAACACATTTTAATTGCTGACATATAAGTTTGTTTTGGCCCCAGTTGAATTTTTGATTATTTGGTAAAATACACCAGAAAGGTTATATTTAACTTTAATTATTATTTTTGAATAATTTTTACATAAAACAAACATAAACAAAAAAATACATGAAATTTATTAAAAATAATAACTAAAAATAAAAATTAAAAAAACAACTCAAATATGTAACTCGTTACTTCTAAACTAGTTTGTACAGATGGTAATTGAAAAAAAAAACAGAAAAAAAGAAAACAAATAATAACTAAAAATAAAAATAAAAAACAACGCAAATTTGCAACTAGCTGCTTCTGAACTAGCTTGTACAGATGGTAATTGAAAAAAAAAACAACGGAAAAGAAAGAAAACAAATTGAGGAAACTATATAATTAGGGTAAAAATGAAGGGCAGAAGTGCAAGACACGGCTCCAAGAAAGAAGGGAAACAGGAAAGACAGCTGTATATAAACGACGGCCTCGTTCAGCTCAGAGCTCATACAACGCAGCCTTCTTCTTCGTCTTTGGATGGCTTTCTCCGGCTTCATTTGGGATATTTTCTAGCATTAAAACCCTAATTCTTCTCCATTTTTCCCTTCGATTTTCCTTTTCCTTTTCTCCGAGAAAATCACAATTCCTGATTTTCTCGGAGATTGATTTGATTCGATTCATTCTCTTTCTCCTTTTTCGTTCGTTCATCAATCAACCGATCAAGATGAGTATGGGAAAGTTCGTCGAGATGCTCGACCAAGGCGTCCGAATAGTCGCCAGATTTCATTCCAACTGTCCCCAGACCGGCCGCAAGTACTACCACCCTCCCTCCGTTTCCGCCGACGCGGGCTCCGACTCCGACTCCGACCACCACCACGCCAGCTTCCACCACAACCACCACCATGCCGGCTTCCACCTTGCCTCGTCGGTGCAGATGCTCTATTGTGGACACAAGGCGGCTGCGGCGGTGGGTTCCGAGACCGTTGACGTTATTCTGTATTCTGTTTGATTGAGAACAAAAAATTGATTGAATGATTGAAAAGCGAGAAAAGACAAATAGTTTTAAATCTTGTTATGGTCAGAGATTTTCATTTCACAATCTGAATCTTCGATCCCTTGATTCATGTTGCAAATAGACGTATAAACACAATACACAATTTTTGATTCCTGAAGAAAATGTTGGGGACCAATTCAATGGAAAACTCACTTTTGATTGGGCATGACTGGTTATCAATTTCTTTATTCTTTTTGTTTAGAACTTGACTATTAATTTCAGATCTATTAACTTTATATAGAAATTAAGTTCACCAAAAATTCGAGGTGGATTTGAGGTTACACTTTCTCTGTTTCTTGAGAAAAGAGTTATGAACTTGATTGAGAAGTTTCTTTCCTTTCTTTCTTTAGAAAAGAAGAAGAAGAACGAATAGAAGAAATGTTATCCAACCACAAAAAGAAAGATTTGTCAAAAACAAAATTTGCGCCTCAAGCTTTGATATGAAAGAGGATTTGGATTCCAGTGAACATTTGTTGGATTCCTAGATTTAGAGACAAGTGATGAGACGCAAGAAAGGAATATATGGATCGAAAACATAGAATGACGTTTACCACATAAAAAAAAGAAGAAGATTTACATAGTATTCTTTAGAGAAAATAACAATAAAATACCACTTGAATTCTAAAAAGACAAATAAGGTACCTGAATAAGCAAAATGACAAATAAGACACTAGGTACCAATCTGGAATTCATATTTTCGGTCAAAAGACCAAAATGCCCTGATGAAATGCGGGAAGACCGACACTGAAAGTGAGAGAAAGGAGAGATGAAGACCGACGCAGTGAAAAAAAGGAGAAAGGAAGACCGACGCTGATGAAATGCGGGAAGAAGGAAAGAAGAATATTGGAAATACTATTATCTTACTCCTTCGCATCACCATTCTGTAGAGATTGTTGATTTGGTGGGTTTTGGTTGTGGGAAAGAGGATTTGTAGTGAGAGAAGGAGTGAACCGAAGCGGAAAGATGAAGCGGAAATCAGAAAACTGGCAAGCAATTACGTAACGTAACTGCTGTCATATGCCTGCTGGTTTTTGGTAAATCCCATTACGTGAATGGTAAATTTCACTATACATGTAGTTAATTATGAATTTTACAAAATACATATTATGATTTACAACTTTTGTAGTGAAAGTGACTACTTTGTTAATGGGTTTTGCAACCTGTTTTCAGGAAATAAACAACTTGTTTGTAAAAACTAATAAAAGTGACAACTTTTGTAGTCACGTTGAATTAACTGGTTACAAAAGCCATTTAAGAAGTGGTCATTTTCACTATAAAAGTTGTAAATATCACTGTGTTTTGTAAAATTCAACGTCAAATTTTATTGATTTTTAGAAACAAGTTGCTCATCCCCTGAAAAGAGGTTGCAAAACTCATTTAAGAAGTGATAATTTTCACTACAAAAGTTGTAAATATTATTGTGTGTTTTGTAAAATTTAGCATGGAATTTTATTGGTTTTTAGAAACAAGTTGCCAATCCCTTAAAAAGAGGTTGCAAAACTCATTTAAGAAGTGGTAATTTTCACTACAAAAGTTGTAAATATCACTCTATGTTTTGTAAAATTCAGCATGGAATTTTATTGGTTTTTAAAAACAAGTTGCCAATCCCTTGAAAAGAGGTTGCAAAACTCATTTAAGAAGTGGTAATTTTCACTACAAAAGTTGTAAATATCACTCTATGTTTTGTAAAATTCAGCATGGAATTTTATTGGTTTTTAAAAACAAGTTGCCAATCCCTTGAAAAGAGGTTGCAAAACTCATTTAAGAAGTGGTAATTTTCACTACGAAAGTTGTAAATCTCACTATGTGTTTTGTCAAATTTAGTAGGAAATTTTATTAGTTTTTAGAAACAAGCTGCCCATCTCCTGAAAACAAGTTACAAAACCCATTGAATAAGTGGTCATTTTTACTACAGAAGTTGTAAATCCCACTATACGTTTTGTCAAATTTAGCGTGAAATTTTATTAGTTTTTACAAACAAGTTGTTTATCTCCTGAAAACAGGTTGCAAAACCCATTAACAAAGTAGTCACTTTCACTACAAAAGTTGTAAATCACAATATGTATTTTGTAAAATTCATAATTAACTACATGTATAGTGAAATTTACCATTCACGTAATGGAATTTACCAAAAACCAACAGGCATATGACAGCAGTTACGTTACGTAATTGCTTGCCAGTTTTCTGATTTCCGCTTCATCTTTCCGCTTCAGTTCACTCCCTCTCTCACTACAAATCCTCTTTCCCACAACCAAAACCCACCAAATCAACAATCTCTACAGAATGGTGATACGAAGGAGTAAGATAATAGCATTTCCAACATTCTTCTTTCCTTCTTCCCGCATTTCATCAGCGTCGGTCTTCCTCTCTCCTTTCTCTCACTGCGTCGGTCTTCCTCTCTCCTTTCTCTCACTTTCAGCGTCGGTCTTCCCGCATTTCATCAGGGCATTTTGGTCTTTTGCTTGAAAATATGAATTCCAGATTGGTACCCAGTGCCCTATTTGTCATTTTGTTTATTCAGGTGCTTTATTTGTCTTTTTGGAATTCAAGTGGTATTTTATTGTCATTTTCCCTATTCTTTATAATATGATTAATAATACTCCCGCCGTGCTTTTTTATAAATAATAATTATCATTCCTTCTTATCTCTAAATATAAGTAATATTTGTAAATTATCTTAAATTTTTGTAACAAATTTTCTATTTTACCCTCATTAATTACTTATTTTAATATTCAATATATTTATTATTTTATTTCCCAAACCATCATCTGTCTCCATCACACTTTTTTTTTTCTTTCATAATTATCTTTATTATAATAATTTTCTTATTCTATTTCTTATACTCTCTTCCCCACAAATAAGGGTATTTAGGAGAAAAAACTTCTAATTTATACCTATTTATTGTTTTTAATTAACTTTTTGATCTACATAGTGAAGTTCTATATTGCTTATAATAAGAGACAGAAGGAGTAATAATTAACTGAGTTCGGAAAAATATAAAATACCAAGAAGAACAGTAAAAAAGGAAAATGGGTTTTCGGTACAATCTAAGATTTAAGAAGAATTTCAAAAAAATTATAATTGATGATTACCATGGTTAATGATATCTCACAGGTCAAAAGTTTTCCAAAAGATGAAAAGATTTTTTTTTTTCCAAGAAAGAGATAATTACAATTTGCTGTCCTGGGAAAATTGATATTGATTGATAGTACCTCTCATCCTTAATATAAAAACTTCTTAATTAATTTGAATAAATTAAAAATAATAATTAAGTTACTTATTTGTAATAAATAAGTGTTATGTTCTTATGAGAAGTATTTTAGAAAAAATACATAAATATGAAAAATAAAGTGAATTATGATCTTATATTGAGGACGGGAGGTAGTATTTGATAATTCTTGCACATTGTGTGGTGTGAGTTTCCCCTTTTTAATATAAAATCTTCAACAGTGGCTTTCAACTATATATATATATATATATATATATATATGTTCATGGGGGAATATTGTTGCAATTTGCCAAATTATGTGGCGGAGAGAAGAAGACTGGGAAAGGGGATGGGGTCATTTTGGCCATACGTCTGCAAAGAAAGAGGAGTTAGAATATGTTGAAGGCAGCACCTGGAAGAGACAAGGAGACATTTGGTATTTTATATATAGTATTATTCTCATATCACGTTCCTTCAACAACGACAATAATAATGTCTTTATGGTAATCATTTATTTCTTTTAAATTTTTGGCATGAAAGTAAGAAATTTTCAACGGACCACGATGATTGAAAAAACAAGAGAGAAGCTGGATGTCAAATATCTGGATGAAAACCAATCATGATTTTAAAAGTAATTTTATAGTATACAAAATAAATATGTAGAGAAATTTATCTTAATTCACAAAAAAAAGTATTTTTAAAAAATACTTTTAAGTTTTAAGCATATCTAAATACCCCTAAAGAAAATCTAAGCCAAGGCCTAATTTGGCCTAATTCTTTCAGAAAACAGAGATTGAAAGTGCATTGAAAGAGACTTCCATTTTATAATACGATTGACTCATGTTACAAATAGACATGTACGCAGCACATTCAATATTGTTCTCCAGGAAAATCTTTCGGAATTAACTGACAATTAATTTCAAGTCCATTAGCTTTAGAGAAAAAAAGATTTCAAATTCCCATATCATATTGATTAATTTAATTGATATTTTAACTTGGGTAAAATAGCATACAGATCCTAATGTTATTTCCTAATCACATCTATTATTCTAATCTTATTTATCGTATACTACCTCCGGTCCTATTTATAAGGCCTCATTTGTACTGAGGCCTTATAAATAGGACCGTGGGTATTATCTAACATCTTGATATTATTTTTCTGAAACTTCCAGTATTTTAAATCATAAATAAAATTAGGATACTAAATGTAACCGAATAATAACATTAGGAAATACTAAATGCATTATCCAAATAATATCATAGTGTTAGATACATCATAAATAATATTAGAGCATTGGATGCTATTAAGAAAGTAACATCAAAATACAGCATATTATTTTTTTTCTTCTTAATTTTATTACCGTCCTAATTCCTAAGACAAGGCTTTCCCCTTCTCAAGAGAAAGGTTTGAATATGATTGAGAGGTTTTCCCCTCTTCTTCTTGAAGAGAAAGAAAGAAAGCTTGGAATACATGTTATCCAACCCCAAAACCAAAAGGGAAGTATTCTTAGTACTAAAAATTTGCCCCACAGGCTTTTGTTTGAAAACAGATTTGGATTCCACTGAACATTTGTAGGATTCCTAATTCATAAGAGAAGCAAGAAAGGACTTTTTTTTAATAATTAATTCGTTGTATGCAATAATAGAATGATGAAAAAAGATTAAAAGAAAAAAAAAAAGGTAAAACGGGTTTTCTATACAAACTAGCTCTTTTGAATTTTTTTCCCAATTTATGAATATATGAATTTAAGAGGGATAATTAAAGACATATTATAATTGAAGATTACAAGTAAAGATATCTATAATGAAAAATCTTATATTTCAAACTTTTTCTAAAAGATGAAAAAAAGTTTACCAAAAAATTTGCAAAGAATAAGTGCCATTTTTTTTGTTTACATTTTTAACCGTATTCCACAGTAAATATCGATTCTTAATTACATGTCATTCAGGGTAATTTT